TCCTTGAAATTGTAGCAACAACTTCCCCTTCTCAACCACTCCTCTAAGTTGTGACAGCAACCTCCCTTGTCGCCCGATCGCCCCCTTTTCATTAAACCTTCACTCCTTGTGGGCCAGCCGGAGTCAGCATGGCGCCAAACAGCCGCACTCAAAGCAGTGCAGCAAGCCATAGTAGGCCTAGCAATCACTGCCGTAATACAGCAACCGAAACAAACTTCGGGGCTTACTGTGGGGGGTGGCAAGGAATACTGTAGTTCTCAACAACAGTTTCCCCTATGTATCAGCAAAAGCAACAATATCCCCCCCCTTTTCTTGATGCAGCGGGGCCGCCACTCTGTCAACGGTCATCCTAACAACAACAGCAGTCACATGCGTTCAGCTAGCCGCGCAACAAGCAAGGCGCGCACACTCGGTCGTGCAGGTTCTTCCGCCGGTGGGCAGATAAGCCTTTAACTCAGCAGCTTCCTTCCTAGCTGCTTCATGCCTTCCACATACCAAAATGGTCTGTACAGTTGCCGCTCGCGTAGACCCCTCCTCTTCATGGTTGGACTGTGGCCGCTCCAGTCTCCAGACTGAGCTCTGCAACAACCATGGATAAGCCTCCACAAGATGCGGAATATTCCGACCAATCTTAAAGGTCGCAACAACGTAGCACTCCACGTGGCTGCTTCAATTTACGAGGTGATAGCTCGTCTTCTCACAGTCCTGTCTTCAGCTCGACATAGCGGATCACACAGCACGACCCGTCCTGCTGTACAGCATGCCTGGGTCCGTCAAAAGGCAAATCTCCCACGTCCTTCCCACTCGTAATATCTCAGGTAAGCCCTCTCTCCCTCTCTCCACCCCCGCTCTGTGTGTGTAACCCTTTGCTGGCGAGACAGCTCTGCACCGGTCAACAGGTAAGTCTCCCGGTTTTGCAGCTGGCCACACACTTCTTAGTTCGAGGAGATAGGGAGGAAGAAATTCGAAATGAATCTGTCCGCAAACGCGACTAGATTCATTCATTGTTCAAGCAAAAAAAACTAACTACTCTGCCTTCGTGCAACACTACCTCCACTAATCTCCTTGTATACTAATGTTCTTCCTGAACTAATCGCGGATTCGAGACCGCCATAGTCCAAAATCGCCATTTCGTACCTTCGTTCGTCCGATTCTGTCGGGAATCAGATGCGTGCAGTGCCTTCCTTCCCGCCAAATCCATGACCCCGACACCTCCGTGCAGCGCTTTCTTCCCCTGACGACCAATCTACTAACCTACCGCCCAAACTAACACCATAGTTGGACTCACACGGCCCTAAAACCCCCCGATTAGGATCTTATTTCACCCGATTCTGTTGGGAATTGGGGAAGATATCGGGTTTTCCTCCCTCCACCTCTTCCCACCATCGCCAGTCTCGCGCAAAGCTTTTCCCTATTAATTTCTAACCCGCTAACTGATTGCTAAAACTAACGCTACCATTCGTTTCACCCGGGGCCAAGACCCCGGGACTGCAGCTTTCGCCCGGGGCCAAGACCCCGGGACTGCAGCTTTCGCCCCTCGATCCCATTCACGGTCGAGGGCGCTATGTCCTCTCGACTGGGCCGGCTCGTTCTCCCGTAGCTGCGCTGCTTCTTTCTGCGCATGTATCCGGCGCAAAAGATCGTTCTGGTCCATCCTCCCCTCTTTTCCTTCTTCCGTCACTGCGTCCGCCTTCCGTACCCCGGCTTCACTTCTGCCGTTGCCTGCTCCGCTTCTCTCTCTTGCTGCACTGCCTTTCCACACTGTCTCACCAGTCTCCACCTGCCATTCTCGATTCTTCCTACCCCGAATATATCCGGTGCGCAAATCGCGCCCGGATCCCTTCTGCTATTTGCCCTTCCACCCTGCCTCTGGAGCCGGCCCGACCATCGCCCCGCAGTGGCCCGTTACCGCCCCGCCTCACTGTTGCTTTCTTCCTGCTCGGCACCTTAGCGCATCGGCCCTACCCGACAGCGCCCGCCGGTCTGAGGGACACTTCGGAGGGAACCAGCTTCTAGACGGTTCGATTAGTCTTTCGCCCCTATACCCAAGTCCGACGAATGATTTGCACGCCTGTATCGTTGCGAGCCTCCGCCAGAGTTCCTTCTGGCCTCGCTCGACAACCCCAATGCCCGCAGCCGTAGCACTCCGCGTCCTGCCCACAGTTGGAGAGTACCCCTTTTCTAAGTTTCTCAGAAAGCTCGACTTTTCGGCCCCGCCCCCAATTTATGTGTACCATCCTTGTGCAGGGGCCATGCTAATCTTCTCTGTATCGTTCCAATTTTAACGGCCGTCCCGAAGGACTCAGGCCACCGGCCTGTGCTGTCTTTCGGCGCCCCCAGCGGGTATACTCACACCCGCCCCTTTAGCAGCAGACCGCGGAATCAAAGCGCGGCCTTGCTACCCTGCCTAAAACGTGGGCCAAAGTGGTGGCGGGCCCGACGCAAATCTTGATGGTCGTAGCAACTTTTTCAAATGAGAGCTTTGAAGCCCGATAACAGGGGAAAGCCCTGCGGGCATACTCACCCCCAAACCTCACACAGCAGGTCGTGGTTGGCGGATGATGCATCCGCCGACGTTCCCACCACTCTGGTTCCTTCCGTCTCGTGGGCTAATCACCCACCGGCTCGCATGCACGTTGAACCCCCGGTTCTAAGTGCTTCTGAGGCATTGACACGGTATCACGCCCCAAATTAGGACAGGGCCGCCAATAGCCGTGGAAAAAAGTAAAAAATAAATAAATAATGAAGTAAAATAAAACTAGGATAAAAAGAACAAATAAAATAAATAAAGCAGGATAAATATTCAGACAGGAACAGGGGAGCTGCTGGCACCTTGCCATTGCCGCGGGTCGGGCCCATCATTACGTCCATCGGCAAAAGGCGAGGGGGATAGTCCCACAGGCCCATCAACCCCTCAAGCCTTTCTGTCGCACTCCTTCGCTCCTTAGCCGCATGCTGTTGGCCTCGATCCCTGCGCCTGCTGCGTACCAATCCTATGCTCTAACCTATAGGGCTAAGCCCAAGCATGGGACTGAATCCCGCAGAACACCATATAGGCAATGCGGCGCGATGCTTTGGGCCAACAAACCGGGTGCGCGGCTCCCATTTGCCTGCGCTGGCTTGCTTATACCGTGCCATAATTGCCCTGCGCGCCACCCTACGACACCCCGCTCACCGCACAAAGCCGTGCCGTGGTTGCCAACGCCGTCGTCGGACCGCTCTTCGCACACGCGCTTGACTTGGTCAAATGTACCAATCAAAAGAAAATACCCTTAATTCCAGGTTAATCAAAAAAAAAAAAAAAAAAAAAAAAAATCACCAAGCACAACGACCGAGGTCTGGGCCGACTTTGCGATCAACAACGAAAAAGAATCACGCGCGCCTTAAACCTGCGCGCCCACGCACTCACTATTGTGGTCAACCATCCTGTCAGCGTTGTCACAAACGCAGCCACGCCTAACGCGGTATACTTAAACTTTAAGCCAAAACTACTTTCTGTCTCTCGAAAAAACCAGGGCGGATACCCTTTTCAGGGTATTCGCACCGACAGCTTACCGAACCATATTAAGCGACGTCCCCGTCGCTTCGCCAAATCAGAAAGCTATAAATCCATCCACATTCCAAATGCTGACGAAACAGGATCCAATCCGATTAGCCGACAAACACAGGGTAGAGGCCTCCATCAAACCATGCCTTCACAACTATATGCTGCCAGGTTTCTAACCTGGGCCTCTCACCGTCCAAAAATTAGGATACTGGCAGCATAAGTTCCAAAGACCTTCCCAATCGTCCTCTCCCCGGTCCTAGACAACCTTCGACTTTTCGTTGGGTGTTCCAAGTCCTGGCAAAAACTAGGGACGCGGGCCTTAATCGAGACCTTTGGAAGACACTCTCGTCTTCCTCCTCAAAAAAATTCTCGCAATCAAATACACGCAAGTATATATATATACTTAATATTCGCTCAACTCTTTCTGCAGTCTAGTACAGAAAGGCTAGGTCTCCACCTCGGCCCACCATAGCCTGGCTGATCGGACCAGGACCATGGCCCACCGCATTGTTATTTAACAGCAGTACCTTCGTTGGTTACGCAACGATAGGTTTCTTCCTGGTAAGCACTCAATCAGGATTGCCCCCAAAAAATTTCTCAATTTTCATTATCCTGCGGAGTAATTTCACTGGGGCGGGCACCCCCCCTTAAACTCTTACCCCGCGGTCCCGCAACCAGGTTGCGCCGGCTAGCAGCCATCCAATGGGGTTACGCCCTAGAGGTACTAACTTCTTTTCCGTTAGCTTGACCTTTCTTCAATATGTATCAGAATTAGCACTGGTTGTTAGACGGGGGCGTCGCAAAACAAAATCACTGGCCGACTGCGCGATCACGCAGGGGTCTGAAGGCATTTACCAACCTTTCCACAATAGGCATGGCATCCTTCGCACGCTCACAAACAAAATCACCGCTAGGTCCACCAGGTCGTGACCCCTGACTTGATCAGAGCCAGCAGCCACCTACTCTGAGACATCTCTTGCCCTACACTCATTGCGACTTTCTCAATCATTTCAAACAAAAGTGACTCTTTTCGTCAGACTTTTATCACCCATTAAACAACTCACCATGCCATAAATCAGTTTACTCACCTCTTAGGGTGAGTCTTCCAACCATAGACCATTCCCCTTTTCCAAAAATCCAAGGGGCTATCATCATAAACAAAACACCCCCTCTTCCAAAAATCACGAGGGGTCTCGCCATAAAACCAAACTTTCCCTCCTCAAAACTCGAGGGGGTCTCATTATAACACACAACATCATAAAACATCCCCTTTCCAAAAATCCAAGGGGCTCTCATCATAAAACAAAACATCACCGAGGGATCATCTTATGAGTCCTCATCACAACTTAAACAATCAATAATCAACATGGTAAGCTTTTTGAGCCTAGGCTGCACTCCCTCCCCTTATACTCTGCCCTATCAGCTGCCCGTGGGCAGGTCGCACAAGTATACCGAGGAGTAGACAGTTTTGTTTACAATCATATTAACTGTACCTATGACAAAATAAGATCTTTTTCACACGTTGTCCACGCAAACTCATCATACATCAGAGTACAACCACACATGTGAGAGTGACAAGTGATCGTCATATATATGAATGGTCCCTGAAATAAAGCCTCATCATAATATACACTCAGGAAATAAAAAGGCCTCACACAAAAAATGTCTCCAAATCATAGCTCACTCCACTCAAGCCACACCAAACCCATACTGACAACTACCCCTAAAATATATGTCAGATCTGTCTCTCAAAGGCCAGGGCGTAGGCCATCTAAATATGTACATGCCTCATCTAAACCACCCTGACCCTCGAAACCCCAACTCAGTAGGAACACAAAAGTTCAAATCTACACTAGTAGTAATCATCAAAAAGACCTTCCCTGCTGCCTTATCTTCAAGGAACTCGAGATAGTCCAGAGCATGATGCACGTTCCTCTTGCAGTAGAAACATAGTTGATCTACCTTCCTCTTGAACTTCTTCTTCCCGGGCTGAGGAGGTGGCGATGAAGGAGATCCTACCAAGGTACTGACAACCTCCTGCTGCTCTGATCGAGGAGCTGCGGTACTAACGACCTCCTGCTGCTCTGTCCCAGGAAGCGGTCCCCCAGACCCAGATCCAGTAGCCCAAGATCCCAGTCTGCTCCTCAAATCCCCTGTCGCTGGGACGTACTCAGGTGTGTCCAACCTCTGAGGTCTCCTCTCGAGTGTCTCTCCTGGCACTGTCGTGGGTTGCTCCTCAATCTCCTCTGGTCCATACTCATGTGTGCCCATCCTCTGGAGCCTGCTCTCGATGGCACCCTCCGCCTGAATCCCCATCTCTTTCTTAAGCGGCTCCTTTATCCTCTGCTCGGGTGAAAACAAACTCGCCTCCTCCTGCATGGTATGCACTGCCTCAAAGAGTACGTCCATGGATCCCTCTGCTGACCCCTGAGCCGGCTCACTGCTAGATGGCGGTAGCCCCTCCTCAATCGCCAAAGGTACGACTGGGTCTGCCGCTGCCACTGGCAGTGTCGCGAACTCAGTAGGGGCTCTAAACTCGAATGCCTCTCTCTGTGCCTGTCTATGGGCCTTCGCCTCCACTGGCTCTAGGGTAACTCTTCCCATAGGTGGCTCCTGGCGAGGCTCTGCCGCAGATGGTTGTCTTGACAATCTCTGTCCGGGCTGCCTCTGCTCTCCCTGCCTGCTGCTCTCTGGCTTGTCCACCTTTCCCTGGGTTTGCTGCCTCACGCTCTCAATGATAGCTGTCTGGCTGGCCACCAATGCCCTGAGTTCCTGGATTTCCATCTCCATAGCCTCCAGGCGTACTCCATGGCTTGCTTCCTTCATTTTTTCCCCTGCCAGATCGCTCTCCAATAACAAGTGCCGGTCAAAAGTGGTCTTGGCCAGGAACTTGATTTTACGATCTAACCTCTCTTCCGCCTTCCTGGCCACCCCAAACCCAGCTCTCACTGGCGATGGAAGTTCCTCTACTCTCTGCTCCCAGAAGTCCCTCCACATCTCAGGGATCTCCGGGGCCCTAGCTGGCGCGCCGGGTGGCTGACCTGGGAGTGCTCCTGCTGCCTCTAATCTCTGCCTCTCCTGCTGCTGCTCCGGAAGCTCCCCTGCTGCCTCCAACCTCTGCCTCTCCTGCCATATCTCATCTATCCGCCTGGTTCTTCTCGCCCTCTTTTCTTCAGTCGTCTCTCCAACTGGCGCCCTTTCCCTCGTGCGGAGGTCGACCCTCTTTGGGATCTCTGCTCCCATCTCCTTCTCGGGCTCGCACAGCTCCTGGCGAGGCTCTGCAGGTGCTGGCCCCTCCAGGTCTGGGTGCTCTTGGGCATGAACTGCTAGGTGTCTGTCAATCAGGATCAAGGCTTCTCTCCTTACAGCTGCCCTCTCTCTCCTCCTTTCTGCCATATTTTCTGACGAAGGAGCCTTTCCTGATGAAGGTAATGAGACCTCCTCACTCTGCAACCTCTCCTCTGCCTGTCGGGTGCTCCCTGATGCATCCCCAAGTCTCAAACCCATTGCTGGCGTCTGTGGGGGCATGTCCTCTCCAACCTCTATCACTTCCTTCCTTGCACGTCTCCCCTCATCGCCCAGCTCTCTCTCTCGCTGAGTACCCTGGACCTCCTCCTGTGGCACCTCCTCCTGTGACACCTCCTCTGCCTGCTCTCCATGCTCCTCGCCCTGAGGCGACGCTCTCCACTGAGAGATATCCAAATGCGTCTTCAATTCCCTCAAGGGCCCCTCAGGTGCTGGCAGCTCCTCCTGCGTGCGTGCTGGCGATCTCCTCAATCCACCCTCAGTAAAACGATGGAACTCCACTGGTCCCAACCCACACTCAGGGTACACCCCTCGCTCCTCAGCCTCTGGCTACTGCTCTGGCTCCTCGTCTCTCCTGGCTAGGGCCTTCCGTCTTCCTCGAGACGGTCTCGCCTCCCTGGGCTCAGGGTCCCTCTGCCTCTGACTCCTCTGACGCCTCTCAACTCTGGGCTGAGGGGGCTCTGGCCGTCGAAAGGCCTCTGTCAGATGTGCCCTGCAGCTCTCCCAGTCCCGGGCCATGTCTCTGATTTGGATAGCCAGTGGCTTTTCCGCCTTCCCGGTCCAGAGTGGTAGCGTCTGCATCCAATCATCTCTCCCGGACCTGCATGTGCGACAGGGTGATGGTCCCCATGTCAGCTGACCATTGCGCTGGAGCATCATGGCCATCCGCGCTCCCCGCCCGCCCACCCACCCACCAAGGGTCGGAGTGGCAAAGCCACGTGGACCATGGGAGATGCCGTGACGCGGTATGCCCTGCCCCTGCATGAACCACTCAAATGCGGGGATGAAGTCCGACGCATTTTCAATCTCCAGGCGGATAGGCCTGCCATCAGGCCCCACAGGCGAGGGTCGCAACTCCTGCATCCTCCACTCCACCTCTGATCTCGTCGTCGCCTCTCTACCGATCCGCGCGATGGGCTCCTCGAATCTGCCTGCTCCCCTCAATCTCTCAATCGCCTGAGCCACGGTCCAGCCCATACGCCTCGCATGATCCCAAAAGCTGTCCAGGAATAGCTCGATGTCCCCATCATCGTATACCGAAGTACTCTCTCGATGGCGAGGCCCATGTCGCTCATATCCTCTTGATGCTCCCAACGGCCTCCGAGGCGGCCGTGTCCCCCTCCCTCCTCTTGGCATGACTGTCTTCGTAAAGTCAGACCTGCACAACAGGCGAAGGAGACAACAGACACACATTGGGGTGAGCAAAACAGGTGATAATTAAGCAAACTTAGACCAGACCACACTCATACAGCATACATCCTACCTAGCCTACACACCCTGCTACTTCTATTTTTAAGGCAGTCAGGTCGTCTCTCTTACCTCTTCTCTCGCCACGAATTTCTTCAGTCGCGTTCCAGATACCCAATCCTTCCACTCAGTCCCATTTAGCTCCTCAATCTGATACGCTCCGAAATCTCCGACCCGTACGATCCGGTAGGGACCTAACCACCTCTTATCGAGCTTCCTTGACCATTGCTTCTCCAGTGATGAATCGTAGAGAAGCACGACATCTCCAACTGCCAAGGGTACTTTCCTCACCCGCNGACCATTGCTTCTCCAGTGATGAATCGTAGAGAAGCACGACATCTCCAACTGCCAAGGGTACTTTCCTCACCCGCGCAGATTGATCCCATCGAGCCTTATCGTCCATACGGCTTCTCGCCACCTGGTCAGACGCCTCCTGGATCCTTTCTTCTATCGCCCCTATCTGCCGCGCCCGAATATCGAGCAATTCTTCAAATGACAGGTTAACTTCCAGATCCTGGCGCCTCCATGTCTTAAGAAAGCTCTCGATAGGGAACGCGGCGTGCCTTCCATACCACCATGTCGCCGGTGCGTACTTGGTGGATCTTTTTATTGTAATGTTCTCGACAAAAAATGCCGCCCTTAGGTATCTTGGCCATTGATTAGGCCTACCTTCGGTCCACTTAGCTAGGAGACTCGTAATGGTACTATGTCCTCTCTCTACGGGAGCATTTGCCTGGGGGTGCGCGGCCGTGGTGTAGTTGGCTGCTACACCATACCTTGATAACAATTCTTGCACCTCCTGGCAGGTAAACTCTGATCCCCTGTCCATTATAAATTCCCTGACGAAAGGGTAACGCAGGTAATATTCCTCGATGCAGCTCACTAAGACTAACCCGGTCTTGGTGCGAATAGCACGCCCATCTACGAAACCAGACAGGTTATCGCACGCATCGAAGATATAGTTATAACCCTGATCCCCAAGTGACATAAAAAGCAGATCGAGATGCACTACAGCCCCCACCTCTCGCTCTAACCTTGGATGCAGCCGCTCTCCTTGCCTTAAACGGGATCTCTCCTGGCAGGGCACGCAAGATCGACAGAATTTCCCGACCATGTCCATCATTCCATCCAAGTAGTACAACTCACTTATCTTGGCATACATGGCTTGTACCCCTCGATGCCCTCCTGTAATGCCATCGTGAAGCGCTGCTACGACGTCGATATGACGATTCCTACCGCAGACGACCCTCCTCGAATTCCCTACTTCTCTTCTCAGGAAAAGGTGGTCGTCTCGCACTAAGTAGCGCTGCAGCATCCACTGGGCCCTATCGCTTGCATCCCTTAGCCGCATTTCACATGATAGAAGAAGCCCCAGCTCTAGGTAGATCCCGTCGTACTCCTCTGCACGAAAAACCTTCTTAATCTCCCCCTCCTCGAACTCATCGTCCTGGCTCTCGGACACTTCATCCACATTTCCTGTCGAGTTCAACGAGTCTGACTGGTCGAGGCCTTCCTGCAATAACGTGTTGACGAGGAGATACATTCCTCCCACCAGGTCCTCATGCCGTTCTACCTGGCCAGGTCCTTCCTCAATCGTTCTCATGTCCTCCACCAGGCTATGCGAGCTGGTCAGCGCTAGCTCTATCATCCACTGAACATCCTTACCGCCCCAGGGATCTTCTTCCTCAAAGGGCTTAAGGACTAGCTCATTCCTCCATTCATACCCACTTGGTGTTTGCCAGATAGGATAGCCTACACAGCTGGGCACTCGCGGCGACCACTTATTGATATGGAGACGAACATCTTCTTCCTGATCTAGAAATCCATCAACTGGGGGCGTATTCTCCACCGTCTCCCCTTCCTGTTTATCCCAGTTGATTCGACTCAACCCGTCCGCCCGGTTCTTACTACCAGGAATCCGCTCCAATTCGAAATTGAACATCCAGATGTACGTCAGCCATCTGGCAACCGTTGGATCCGATGGAACGTAATTCCTTAGAAAGTAGGCCAGGGCGGTCGGATCCACTCTCAAAATAAACCTCCTGCCGAAGATGTAGTTCCGGAAGATTCGCAGACAGTGGAGGACAACAAGGGTCTCCCTTTTGAACTGAGAGTAATTCCTCTCCGTCGTACAGAGAGTCCGACTCTCAAATCGCAAGGGCCTTTCCTTACCTTCCATGTCTGCCTGAATTAGAACTCCCCCTAAGGCAGTTGGCCCCGCATCTGTTTCGACAATGAAGAGTCGTGTTTCTGTGGCATCATAATCTGGCGCTCCTAACACCAACCCTCCTTCTCGAAACTCCTCCTTCATTCTGGCCACCACCTCTTCTTGCTCTTCCCCCCAAACCCATTCCTGATCCTTGTGAACTAACTTCCTCAGATGTTCAGTCTTAGCGGCAAAGTTCTTGACGACGGCCCTCCAAAATCCACACGTACCAAGGAAGCTCCTGACATCAGTTATTGAGTGGAACGGAACAGACCACTCAGTAATCTTGTCCGTCTTCTTCACATCCGACCTCCGGCCCTTCTCGCTGCAGACGAACCCCAAAATAGTCGCTTCCCTCATGCAGTGTCTGGACTTGGCCCCGCTCGCCGTAAGGTTATACTCTTCGAGCAGGCTCAGGACGTTTTCGAGGTCCTGGATGTGTTTCCAGACAAAGCGCCTTATCCCTGGCGAGACTTCGTCGCTTTCTTTCACCGCCGGCCCCTTCACTGCCAAATCGTCAATGTATAGTTGTGTGATATGGGGGCTGATTGACTGCATAGCCCGAATCATGGCCCGTTGGACCATTGCTACTGCGTTGGTCCACCCTTGTGGGGCCACGTTCATGTGGACTAATCCTCGCGGCGTGTGCATAGCCGTCACCGACCTATCCGGCTGGTAGACTGGGAACTGATCGTTTCCTGAGTAAAGGTCTATAAGAGAAATTATAGGCCTTCCAACACAGGATTCCGACAGCGCGTCTGCATTAGGCAGTCCTCCAGCATCTCGCACAGTCACCGCATTCAGTCTTTGCAAATCCTGCACCCACCGCAACGTCCCATTAGGCTTAATGAAGCAGAACCACGGAGACGCATACGGTCCACTTGAATAGTCGGCGACGTGAGTACGTATCTTGCCGTCGAGGTAATCCACCACCTTCCTTTCCTCGTCAGGATTGGGATATCGCGCCCCTCTCATGTTCCAAGGCTCGTGTGGTACGGTGTGGATGTGGATCATAGGTATCTTGTCCACATCCAGCCTGCCACGCTCCTCGTCACTAAACGCATAGGTGCGATGCTTCCTCTTCATTAATTCCACCATCAACGCTCGCTCCTGAGGCAGCAGGAAGTCAGACTCCCCTATGATCAACTCCTTCTTGTTCCCTTCGTTGATACGACAAGGCCCTACTAAAACACTTTCTCTCATTCACCGTATCAACCCTCGTTCCCTCTCGTAATATGCTTCCTCGTCTTCTGTAACGAGGACGAGAACCGGGCGGCGCTTCTTGTCTACCGTTTTGTACCGCCTTTGGGAATCCTGCTTAAGCCGTCTCCTAAAAAAGGCCGACTCATGGATTGTGTTTGCGCTGATGCGGGGTGCCCTCCACTGCCTGGGAGCCGATATACCAACTCCAACCTTCCTGCCTCGGGGCATTCCAGAACTTGCTCCCTCAAGGCCTGGATGGCATCCGGATCTGCCATCTCATGCGCGGCCACCAGGTCCATGGCCTTCCCAACATCCGACAGGCTGAGGGAAAATGCTTCCACCTTCTCTCTTGCTTCAGGCTCTGCCCGGAGCCTCCTGCGCTCCCCTTCTGACTGAGCCTCCTGCGCTCCCCTTCTGACTCCTCGATTGTGAATGATCCTGGATTGAGCCGGTTCCTTATACTCCTTGGCCCGGTGTTCCTGCATGTAATTATTTCGTAATTCCCGCAGGCAGGATCGCGTAAGAGAAGGATTAGAGTCCCGTCATATTTGTTGAACATCACGGTCTCTGTCCTGCTTAGGAATGACCTCCCCAGGAGGATTCCATGGTCTACGTCCGGCATTATGAAGAAGCATGCCCTGACCTTCACCTTTCCAACTCGATGAGCACATTCGAGGCTGTCCCGCAAAACACGGCCTTACAGCTGGCTCCATGCAGAATACCGCAGTCAGAACGGTCTATATCCGGCCCAAATCTGATTGCGTCCGCCTCCCGAATGATGTTCATTTCGGCCCCGGTGTCCACCATTGCCGCACACTTGGAGCCCTTCACCATCAAATCCACCGTGCCGCAGGCTACACACTTCCAGTCCATTTTCGTCCCCGACTCTGCCCACTCAGCCTCCTTGGGCAGGATCGTATCCAGATAGACATTGGGTACCAGGCGCCGCGACAATCTCCCCTTCAGCTCATCGCGGAGTCGCGGGGCTGACGCTAGGATTTTCTTCAGGGTCATGAGGTCATTATGCCCTTCCAGCAGCCTGTCAATTACTCTCTCTACGTCAAATCCCTCTTCCAACCGAACCACGTATTTTTTCTTTTTGGGTGGTCCGTCACGTATGACTCACCCGGCCTCTCCCCTGGTTCCCTTTTTCCTCGCCCGCTGGTCCGTTCTCTGATCCTCTTCTTTGCGCAGCCTCTCGTCCTCTTCCTCTTCATCATCATCGCTCTCTACTTCCACAACCTCTTTCTTTCTCTCTGGTTCGGGTTCCCTCCTCGGAGGCTCTTGGCTGACACTAGCCTTGGCTTGATTCCTCGTTCCTCGCTGCCTGTGCCAGCCGGGCCTGCAGAGTGAGGGGCCTCCCCCTCATTCCCGATTGTGGGCACGACCCCACAACATTTACTCCGGGTCGCCCAAGCGCTGACTCCGGGCCGGAGTCATAGAGGAACACTTTGGGTATGTTAGACCTCCATCCCTTCACTTCCTCACAGAGGCCCACCAACTTCTGTTGGTACCTCCCCATCTTATCCAGCAAGTCCTCCATCTTCTCAAATAAGACGGACGGAGACTCCATTCTCTCCTCCTCATCCTCGTCATCTGACTCGATGATTATGACATCTTCCGTCTCACTTCCTCCTCGTAGCGCTTGAGCCACTTCCTCATCGCTCCCTACTTCCTCTATCCCAATCGGTGGTTCCTCCTTTTCCTGCCATAGCCTGAACATGGCAGGGGGTGGCGGCCCAGCTGCCGCTTTTCGTTGGGCTTTAGCCCTCACTCCTCCAAGCCTTCTGTCAATGGCCTCCCCAAGCTGATCGTAGATATTCCCATCCATAGTGGAGGAAATCAGTCCGCTTCTCTCGTCTTCCCATCTTATATTATAGAACCTTATAGCGTGGCCTTGCTGGTCACAATGTTGACAGATGGCCGTCCTCCAGTCAAAACGGGGTCTTCCATACCCTTGACTTCCCTGATCCCCCTGACCTTGATACCCCTGACCTTGATTCCCTTGGCCTTGGTACCCCTGGCCTTGATTCCCTTGGCCTTGACCATTCCATTGCCTTCCTCTTCCACCGCCATTCCTGCCTCGCCCCCTTCCTCCACCCGTCCCTCCGTTGCCTTGATTGCCCTGCCCCTGGTTCCCACCTCCTGCAACGCTGCCCTGTGAACTGGGAGCAGGTGACGGTGGCGGGGCCACAGGCTGGGCCTGGGCCGCGGGGTAGATGGGTGCTGGCATTTAAAGGGGTTGTTGTCTGGGCCAGGGCCACTGTCTTGGCACAATTGCATTGATAACCGGCCACGGCCACTGTCCGTAGGAAGGCGCCCCACCTTGCAAGGGGCCCGTACTAGATGATGGGGCCGCCACATTTAAAGGGGTTGTTGTCTGGGCCTGAGGCGCCTGCGCTTTTCCTGATCCTCGTCCACCTTGCGCCAAATTACGCACTTTGCGCTGGACCTTCGTCAAGTGTTGCGGCACCGGCTCTTCCTCTTCCCAGAGCTCTTCCTGAACAGCCTCCTCTATCACCGGCTCCTTTCCTTTCACTTTGACAGGCGTCACCACCCTCCTTTGCACCACCGGCTCTGTCGCATACACTAGCTGTGCCAACACATCTGTAACAATCCTTGTTACCCCCAGGGTCCCAGAAGCAGTCGCATCTCTTTCCTTTCTTTTATGCCTTTGCAGGCGTACCTGACGTTGCTCCACCTGGTCCAAACACCCAACTTCCACCCCTCTGGCAATGGTGGCCCAATTGAGCTTAGTGCTACCTCCTCCATGCCTCGTCAACTCGACGGCCTCCGATGCCGTGAGTAGCCCCAGGAAGATGGAGCATTGTGCTTCCTCCGAAATCCCATGGACCTTCCGTGCTCTCTTCTTAAATTTTTGAACAAAGGCCCCTATTGTCGTAAAATCCTCTTTGTTCATCGCCTCAAGGTCTGCGGTAGTCAATAGCTTGTCTCCCAAGCGCTACTTCCTTTGCATCCCCTCCTTAAACCTCTCCCAGCTACCTTGAGCCGCATCTATGACTTTCTTCACCTCCTGATGGTAGTTGTGGAGGACATACTGAAGGATGCGTTGAAACTTTACAACATCCGACCGCCCGACCAAAGCTTGTTCCACCCGCTCTAGCCATTCTGAGACTCTCTCCCCACAAAAATGGAAAGTATCGACCTTTGAGATGTTGCTCGGGTTCCTTTCATGTCGGTCGATGGCCGCGATGAGGTCATTGAGTGTCAGGTCCTTCTTGGGAGCAACTGATGCGCCGCTAGTCTCAGGCATCTTGACAGCCTCTCCTTTTCAAGTTCCCTGACAAAAGAAAACAAACACATCCCCTTATTCAACATTATATCTTGACCGGTCTATTCCATCCGTCCTACCTAACTCTTACTACGTACCTTTTTCCCAATTCTACACGTTCACCCTTCATTCCTTCCCTTACTCAGGTAGGTAAAATTTCCTTACCTATACTCCATCGCTCATTATCTTTCCTCACTTCCTCGTCCTTCCTTTATGCCTTTTCTCATTCACTTCTCATACCCGAATGTCATTCCAGCAGGGACAACGGTAGGTTTTCCATTATCCCCGGCAACGGCGCCACCTGTCGAGCGCATCGGTCCGACACCGCACAGCAGCAGGGCGGGACCCTCCCGGCCGCGTCACGCAGGAGTTGGTTTTAAATCCTTCGTCGCAATATATACGGATCATCCTTAAGCCGCTCTGGCCGAGTGCGCCAACCATACCTCTCGCGAGCCCCTACGACAGGATAGGGCCTATATGAGGCATGACTTACCTACACCTAACGGGAGCTGTCACCTCCCTTCAGTGGGCGTATCCCCGCGGAGCTACCAGTCCACAGTACGGAAGCTAATCAGCTGCAATCGCAGAGGTGGACCAACTGAGGGCGTTTCTCGTTCGCTGTAGCATAGGGGGTACGCGCTGTAATACGCCTCTATCGGACCCGCACGCGAACCGACATCATGGGGGGCTGAGGTCCCAAGCGCGGTTCGTCGTTGGTCGACGAGGACGCATCCCACATACCACGCGCACTCCACTTTACGAACACACATACCCACAAAACAACACATATACGAAACGACGCAACACAAACGACACGACAACGCTCCTAGCCCCTCGGTATCCAACCCATAACTTTCCAATGCGGAAATCGTATAGGCGTCACGCGCGAGACTCAGTATAAAACCGCGCGGACGCAGGGCTATCGCATATCGACTCGCAATGCAATTGTACGCAAGCAGTCGCAGTGAAGGCGTACTATGTGGTACCCATACTTGCGCGGTCCCTGTTAATCGCGAGGGCCGCGTTCGACACTCAAGTGACGGCTGACAAGCGCCTTGAGGGTTAATCTCTCGACACGGGACAACCGCAATGCGCGGTTGAAAACCACAACCTCTTATGCACCCTGTGCAGAGGGGTTGAGTAGACAGCTTTAAGCTGTCGTGGCGGTCGAACATCAAGGGGTTTGACTTTGACGGCGGCCACGGACTATAATGTCCAACTATAAAAACTCCAAAGAGCAAAAGATAAGGAATGGGCCGAAAATTCCCTGCCTAGTAAACAAAATCATAGCCCTGGGGTACCCTCCCTTTTTCGCGCGGCGTCGGCGGCCTATAACAATCTCAAACATTTGCCAATATGTGTCGGTCCCTTTGTAATCCCATAACTTTTTACACACCAGGGCGGTAACGTCGCGCGCGGGATTTTAATATAAAGTTGCGCAGCCGAGGGCCTACCTCATACCAACCCGCAATGCAGGCATACGCATGCAGTCGCGACGATGGCGTACGCATGCAGTCGCGATGATGGCGTACTATGTAGTGCCCATAATCAAGCGGTCCCTCGTGGATCCGAGTACCGCTTATGACACTCGAGTGTCAGACTCGAAGTGTCGTGAGGGCCTAACCCTTCACGACATTGCACGACTTAAGGAATAGCCGTGTGGCCGCCGCGGCTTCTCTGACTCTTGGCCTYAGTGTCTTGGTAGGCAAATCAAATAGACTCTGCGCAAGGAAAAACCCCTTCCCTGCAGAACCTATGGCTTGGGATGTCCTGGACAAGGACCTCGAATCCCGACCCAGGACCAAACGTCCGACTAAGAAAAATCATCAAAAAGCAAGAAACAAAAATAGAGGKAGAGRCTTACCCTRRGGCCCCTTAGCCTCAGCTTCTGAGTAGGGCTTTAATAWGGGGACTCTTCAACCCATGCAAACATTCATCCCAAGTATACCCATGTRTACATGTATAARGGTTAAGTATGTGACGATCACTTTTCATGGTCTCACWAGGGTCTCTCACAATAATACGTATATGTGTGATYGTAGGCAACCAAATCCAGAATYTGATTCACARCACATACCTGCCATCACATCAACAAACCAAATCAACAGCCCACATACTACACGGAGTCAACCCCAACCACCTTCGACATTCATACCCTTTGCTTTAGCCATGCAAGCCCCAAAACCTCCTGTCCAACTAACCTTAATTAAATATTCARCACCTTTGTTAAATGGCCATTCAATAAAAGTCCGGGTGAAACCTTAATAAAACAACGAAATCACCAGGGCTAAAGCCTTTTAGGTTGAGTGTGGAAGGAAAGTTGAAATTGAGTCGTAGGCCGACGAATCGGGAACCGACCTGTTATCAGTGATAACAGAAAGTGATCCTTAAAAGGATCAAGTTGGATCTAGCCCTGAACTTGAATCAAATGATCAAAGAGGCCTGTAACACACGGCAGGCCAATCCCCAAGCTAAGATTATAAGTGTGTGSAGACTACAACTCCATAATTCATTCTCACTCAAGYTACCTGCCAACTAAGTCCAAGCCTAACTCTAAGCTAGTGCCCAAAAAAGAAGTAGACTAATGACAGAACCTCTCTTATTTAGGGTGGATTGCCAGAATTGCCACCTGTCGAAATATAATCTAACTCCTCTAAACTAAGAAAATTTCTGCAGCGCTTCCCGTAGGAAAAGTGTCTTTCCACAATTTATATAAGTCTAAATATGAAAAAAAATATAAATAATTTCTAACTCTGGAAAACCAAATTTTGTCTAACTCCCTGAATTAGTAGAAATTTGGTCAACACCCCCTCTAGAAAAGGAGACTTTCCAGATTTATACTAAGTCAGATATACAGCAAAAAAATAATCTCTAACTCTTGGAAAGTCAAAACTTGTCGAACTCCGTGATTAAGTAAAAATTTGGGCAGCACTTCCTTTACAAAGGGAGACTTCCCAGATTTATACTAAGTCAGGTTTGTATTCACAAGACAAACTTGAGTTCAATTTAGATAAGATTTAACTAACTCCTCAGTTTTGCAGAAATTTCGGCAGCACTCCCTCTAGAAAAGTGCTTTCCCAACATTTATACAAAGCGAGGTTCATAATTTGGGAATAACTTTGACTTCTCAAAGTCCAATTTTGTCTAACTCTCTGAATTAATAAAAATTTGGGCAGCACTCCCTCTAGAAAAGAAGACTTTCTAGATTTATACTCAGTCAGATGTATGGAAAAGACAAGTTGAGCTCTGACAAGTGAAAAATTGACTAACTTCTTGGATTTGTAGAAATTTCGGCAGCGCTTCCCGTAGGAAAGGTAGCTTGCCAAGATTTATACAAAGCCAAATATAAGAAAGATCTCAGGAAATGCAGAAATTGACCTAAGTAAAAAACATTATTACAGAAAATGCAGGAATTGACACTAACTCCTATGGCTCTAGCACGTGGCGAGTAACTAAAACAACTACCTATAAAGCTGGTCATCCCATCCAGTCACATGCAAACCAAACCACGAATGCATGGTTCCCCAGAAAACAATCAAATGAACACAGCGATCAGGCCATTCACAGTACAAA